ATGAGAGAGACAGACAGACAGACAGACAGACAGACAGAGAGACAGAGACAGAGACAGAGACAGAGACAGAGACAGAGACAGAGACAGAGAGATGGAGAACTCAGATTCCCCCACAGAGTCTGTATGGATGAAAAGTATCTCAGGTTTGACAGAGGTACTGAAGTGATGGATTTGCAGCCCCATTAATATTAGTAATTCATTTTAAAAACCAATGGCTTTTACACTCCGTCCTCTGCATGGTCAATTAGAATTCATAAGATTTCACCTGGTTATTACATGAGATGATACCTACAGTGTAGGGATTTTGATAGATATACACATGTTCACATTTTTGATCCTTCCCTACAATTATCCATTTTTTAAAAAGAAAAATCAACCTGAACAAAATGGAGCTTCATTTTTCTTCTTTGTTACTATATCAGTATATGAACTAAGAATAACAGAAAGAGAAACTCTTGAAGCAGTTTTGTGTGGATTGTGAGATCTATGCAAAACTCCCATGATACAGAGCAGTAAAATAGCTTAAAAATTAACAAAATGCAAGGACTGAAAGTATTCGTTGGCCTATATGAGCACCCTGACCTGAAAACCCCTTTTTAATGACTTCTTTAAAGATTTTCTAAAAGCTTCATAACTTTTCTTATCTATCTAAACTTTAAAACAAAGTTTAATGGCATGAAATTGGTTGAGGGTATGTTTGTTAGACTTTTATTGAATCCACCCCAAAACGAAATAAAATATTTGACTTTAAAACCTGCTAATTAATTCGAGACATGAAATTCAGGGTTAATTTTATATAATTAAAAAGTTGAAAGTTTAGCATCATTCATGAGAATATTTTTGTGCTCAAGCTCACAAATACTAATCTGAAGAAATAAATTACTGCTTAGGTTCAGAATTGCTGAACCTGCTTGAAAGAATAAAGAATTTCCTTAAAGTCAACAAATAAAGCTAGCATCATTTTATCAAATTTGAGATACTTTTACAAGAGGATTAAACATTTCCAAACATTAGCAACATCCCTAAACTGCACAAACAGCTTTTCTCAAGGATAGATTCTATCCCAATTTTGATTCCAGTTATTATTGAATAAATTTTATGGCATTATAATTTGAAAATGTTACATATTTCTAAAGATGCAAGAACTGTGGAAACAAACAGTGAAAATTGTCCACATTTTGGAATTAGTACAGAAAATAGTTGGGTTTCATAGCTAAAAATGATTAAACTGCTCCTCTAGAACATGGGACTCTGTTTCTCGTTGCCTTAATTCCAACTGGTTCATGAGTTCTTTACATTTTTCATGTGAGAATTATTAGGCCTATATTCCAACATCTTCCTTTCTGTCACCACATGCTCAGTTAAAATCAATCTGTTCAATACACCTTTCTTTAGCTTGGTTGAATTCTAATAACATATGGCTATTGGCATCAAATGACAATTCAGCCATGATCTCCGATAAAGGGAAACTCTCTATGGAAGTGTTGGCTTCTCCTCATCTATTCTTTGACTACTGTATGTGACATTTATGGATCCATCACAGGAGAATTCACAAGAATATTTTATCTACATGTTCCAGCCTCCTAGAAGACAATTCTTTAAATATTTAATTAGCAGTGAATTTAAAGTATGCATATTGTATGCTTCCTTATAATTTATCTATTCCATCTTATAATTTATCTATTCCATCTAATTCAGTGCCACAGTTCCACAAAATCATTTGTTCACAAGTTAGTCTCCACAGATTTAAATATATTTTACTAAATATTGTTTTCAGTTGTTTAGATGACATAGCTTTCTCTGTGTATTCTGACCATCTGTAGCTGTTATCTCTTTCCACTATTGAAGGAGGTGTTGAAAGTAAAGCAAAGTATCACAGTCTTAAGGTTCCTTTAAACTACGTTCAATCACAGATCTGCAATGGGAACTGTAAACAATAGACTAAATTCTGTGTCCCAATATTTGACTGCTTAGGCTACCAAAGTAAATGGTGTTTAATATTGTTCTTCAAATTTGTATGAAATCATACAAATTTGAAATATAAATGTTAAAGATAATAGAGTAATTGTAGATTTCTTCAAACATATATTCTATTCTGGTCTAGAACTTTGGAAGTCTCAAGCTAATGAGATAGATAGATAGATAGATAGATAGATAGATAGATAGATAGATAGATACTCCTGTATATTGGTTGTAGACCATCTATGTAAAGAGAACTGGGGTTTTAAAGGTGTGAATGGTTGTTCTCAACTTACATTTTCAAAAAGTCAAACATGCATTGTATTTTTGAGAAGAATCAAATCAAGGCGTAAAAGTTACTGATAATGGAATGAGTTTTAGAAATTCATGTTAAAAATTAATAACCTTGTAATATTTTAAGTATATATGATGTCATCCTACTAAGTTTGAAATTATGTAGTTTTTAAAACTTCAAAGACTGTAAGAAAATTTATGAAAAAAATCTGTAAAAATGGGGAAAACATTTTATTTACAAGTTACTTGGAGATAATGAATACCCAAAGTGGCAAATTATCTAGTATTTTCTAATTAAAACAAAGTTTTACTGTTATACATATATTGGCACAGGATATTTTTGAGACTAGATGATGAAAACCTTCAACATGTTATTTCATGTAGATAATTGATTTGTAAAACACACGAGAGAAAGATAAAAACTCTAAGTAGAAAATATAATTTTATAGCTACATTTTACAGAATATTCCAAGAGATATCATTGGTTATTTTATTATTTTGAAAATATTACTTATTTAAACAACAAAAAAACTTTAAAGCCAAATATAATTTCAACATTGGAAAGTTTAAATAACTGAAAAATGTACAGAGCAAAAATGCCATCTCAATGCCATTGGTACCACTACTCTGGTGAAGAAGTATTTTATGAGGTATAAACATTGCACACAAGTATACACTGAGAATTTAGACTATAGTTAAACCAGTTGTGTTCAAGGCCACTAAAATACTGAAAGAAGATTATGATGATTGTGATAATCATATTCTACAGGGAGGAAAAAGAACTAAGTAAGTCCCCAAACTGAAAGTTTGAAGTGATGATTCATTTAAAATAAAAAGCCATTTCTCTGAATTTTCAGTACTTCATGAAACAAAAGACACCCATGTCTACCTTGGTCAGCTCTGTTCCATGAATGAATTTACCAGTGGTATAATGGTATTTGGGACCTTCATGACTTATGAGTTTTATATTTTGGAATTTGCTCACTTCTAATAGGTAACCTAAATTTCAGATTTCACACTAAGCCTCTCCATGACTCTTTAACAGCATGTAGTACTTAAAATTTGCGTTTTTTAATTGAATGAAGTGTTGAAAATTGAAGGTTCAAGAAGCATTAATTACTCATATGATAAGGTTCAAATTTTGTTGTAACTTTGTCTATGGACTGGAAAATTGCTTTTCATTTTTACAAACAAAACAATTCTAGGACTCCTGGTTTATATATAATTTTTCCCCAGCATTGAGTGATGGGCCATGAATCCATTGTATCAATGATTTGCAATATTTGGAAGAGCTGAACACAACAGGAATATAGAAAGGGGTTTTGAAACAGTTGACTCAGTTACAGTAGTTGTATCGGTATTTTACAATGCTAAACTTAAAATATGTTAACTCTGAAGCAAGGAATTGGCCTCCTGGGTGTGAAAAACACTGAAACATGGTTGTGTTAAACACAGCCATGGAAATGGTTCTTCAAAATTTCCAGGTAGAACAGGGTTGCAAATTCTGAAAGATTTTGTACATTAACACAGCATAAAAGCAACTTGTGTCTTCAGGGAGGGCACAACTGGCATAAAAGGTCATTAAATGCTAATAGACCTGTTGAGGTATGGTTGCTTAATGGAGGATAGGAGCAATTTACACATAAAGATCAACAAACAGAGAGAATTCACCTCTGCATCTAAGGTAAGAAAGACAAAGGAGCTATAAATAAACACTTTCTTAGTACCAATCACCCGAAGATTACACAAAATTGGTTTATGCAATAGGAATGTTGGCCACAATGATGATGGAAATTGGTGAAAGGCTACCACTGACTTTAGAGAATTTGCAGAGTAATTAGTTTGCACATATATTTTGTTAGATTTCATCTTCATGTAGTAGAATATATCATTCTTCATGATATAGATGAAAAAGCAGTTAAGAAAGTGAGTTATAAAGTAGGAAGGGTAGTATTGAGATAAATTATATGAAGCCTATTCCAAGTGTCCACACTTTATAAAACAAAAAAGTTAAGTTTCCTTTGATCTGAAGAGATTCTTCGCACAGGTCCATGTACAACATATTATATACATGTGGTGCTTCTTTATGTACATATGCATATGTACATACTATCTATACATCTTTGCAGGTGTATGCACAGCTTTAACTCAAAGAAAATGAGTCAGCAACACAATCATCATTGCCAGACAATCCAAGTGTTGAAACATTGACACAGATTGTTTTGAGAGCTGCTATATCTCTCCTGTTGTCCATGGCTGAGAAAAGAATTTCCTCCTGAAGTTTTGACTTTCAATGCAACAATGATTGTCATTGATAATCTTTGTGCTTTCACATAATGCCCATCCTGGATGTACATATATTCACATACAACATTGGAACATGTTAAATAAGCATGCTGGAACACAGGCAGGACCATATATCCATGCACAGAGTATTCTGGATAGGATTTTCCAAACTGACAGCAACATCAACATGCACCACTATCATATTTGGTCCTGAACAGCAGGGAATGTACAGCTGAAGTAGCCAGGGCAAGTGACACTTGCAAGAGTTTCTATACAGAGGAATATCCAGAGGAGAAACATGGAGAGTGAATGGAATGAAGAAAATTACCCATCACCCAAACAACAACAACATCAAAAAGTCCTCCCACACATTATCACTGAAATTCTTGCTATCGTCCTCATTCCACAGAAAGCAGGTCCTCTCAAAAGTCTGAGTTGCGTTTTTCAATAAGTGATACATATTAGTGTCTCATGGCTTTTCCCAGCCACTGGAACAGCTCCTCTTGATAAAGCCTTTTCCAGCGCACATTGGCTTCCACGGTTTCTACAGCTCGTGAGAATGAAGCAGAGGCTACCCCATCATAGGTCTTCATAAAGCTCTTTAGCTGGAAATAGAAATTAAACATGGTGAATCTGCTTGTGTTAATATGAATTCATGTGGAACATACATGAATAAGAATGCATTTGAGATGAAGTGCCATGCAGACACCTAGGACAAACTTGAATGAACCCTCTAGTTCTGCTTGTTTTGAGTAGTATTTGAAAGGCCATGCACCCAAACACTGCCTCTGAGACTTCTGCTGCCTTTGCTGTGTAGGGCTAACATCTGATACTTGGGCAATGATGACAGTACTTGTCTGTGCTACTTTTCAGGAACTTGAAGTCTGCACTGTTTTAACATACTGGGTTCACTTAGGACTAAGCAAATGTCCTCTCCTCTAGATGACATTTTGATATTTTAGGACCAATATCTTTCCCCAAATATCATGCTAACACTGGCATTTTCTAAACAGAGATCCTTTGAAAAGCTATGAAGACTCTGAATGAACAACACACTAACCACATCACCTTTAATTGTTATTCCTATCTGCCTCTCTATTCCATGTGTTCTTCCCAACTCTGTTCTCAGATTTGTAAATTTGAGACTCATTCACCTATTTTTACACATGCAGGCACCATATGAATGATCTCTCTTTTCTTTATAAAACCCAAACTTACATTTCATTGATTGACATAGTGCTCCTTCATTTACTAGTTTGGATTAGTAACATAATCATGATAGGAATTAAATATACTATTATGGAACAAATTTGAAATGAGAATAAACACTGCAGGAGGAGTGAAGAATCCAAGAAATAGAAGATAGCATTGCAAAGTGGCATACTCTAGACCAGATACAGCCATTGAAATCATGAACCCACAGAAATTACAGTTACTGGCAATTGGCCTGCAAGATACTGACCTCTTCATCAGTCAGTCACAGATGGAAGGGAGCTCATAAGGCCTTACTGCTGAACTAATTGGTTACCAATAAAGTTGTGAAGAGAGACAGTCACTGTTTTCAGTTGTGTTAAAGCCCCACCCCAACCCCAGCAGGCCCACCAGGCTTCAATGAAAAGTTCCAAGGCTGTAGTCATACAGATAGCCTTGCTTAAACTCAGTGGGTAACCAAACAAAACAAAAAACAAGGGGTGGGGGAAAGAGATTTGTAGAAAAGAGGGGACTAGACAGAGGTTAGAAAAAGAGAAGAGAGAGTCAGGAGTAAGAGTAACCATACATGTATGAAATTGTGAAGAAAAAATTACCTAATTAAAATACATTTAAAACAATACGTTAGTAGTGTCTTTAGGTGACATGATTTACTCTGAAATTCAGGAAAACCATGTAAGCATTACAATTTCAATAGCTCCATATGTTTCCTGTTTCAGTAATAGATAACTGTAGTGAGCAGAGGAACCCGAGGTGAGTGAAACACTGAGTAAAAGTGTATTTTGACATGGGAACAGACCCCAATAGGAACTGCCCCATGGTAAATGGGCAAATCCATTACCTATATGGTCCTAGTTCAAGTGGGATGGCAAAGCTTTTATGGGGAGTTTGATTGTAAGTGTTATGAAAGATTAGTGTGTGCAAAGACTAAGGACTGTGCCATTCTCCCTCTGGATATTTACATTCTGAGGCTGCTTACATGTAGAGATCTTCTACTGAGATCAGCTAACCCCTGCTCAGTGCTGTAGCTAACAAACCAACTGAAATTCCAAGTTGTGGTGGAAACCCTCTTGATCCCAGCTTCACTATATATTTGTCTATCCTTTGTCATTACTTCACTGCCCATACCTAGAGTTCCAGGACCCATGCCACACACAATACAGCAGATAATAAATTAAACTATTTATGTATTAAGAATAGGTTGCTGGTATTGCTTCAAAGACCAATTCTAATTACAAGACACGTTCAACAAAACCAAGAGCCTTAGAAACTGACTGTAACGCTAAAGGTTCACCTTTTTCTTTAAAGAGAGGAAATTGTTAGTCATGGTCTAAAAATAAGCAGGATAGGCCTTAAAACCACCATCAGTGTCAAAAGAGTTCCAAAGTAACTGGATCGTAGAACAAAGAAGCAGTGCTATGAAACCGGGGTGATTACAACCAACCAAGTAGATTTTGAAAGGATAAGGAAGAGATGGTGTTGAGTCAGAGAATTTGAAATTAAAACCTTTAAGTGATTTATCAGAATTCTTAGTGATAGGAGTTCTTATTTGTAGAGTTCATGTACTCTGAGAAGACTCAAGAATTCACTGCAAGATTAAACACTGGCATCTTCACTTTTTGTTCTGTGTGCCTTAAGAAACTGGCAACCAACCAACAATTACAGTGCTAACAGACAAACGTGAAAAATCAACTCGCAGCAAGGAGACATTATGTGGTGTAATTAGTGAAGGGTGTGATTCATCACATAGGGGGTGCCACATGGAGGCTCTGCTGGGAAGGAAATGCAGGGCCTCAAGATAAAATCTGGGCAGGAAAAGTAAGGTTTGGAGGTGTTGAAAATGTGGCTAATTCTACATCTCCAAACTAATATGGATTTTAGTTCATAGACAGTTTGCTTTGTTTATGATGGTGTTGTAGTTTTTTTTTATATTGATGGACTTTCTGAAAGTTTATCATCAGACATTGTTGGCAATGGAAAAGCATGGAACTACATAGTTGACATGATATCAAAATCACTATATGCTAAAACAAACTTAAGATATCTAATGCATAACTGAGAATTATTATATTGCCATAAAATTAATGCAATATTTGACTAAAATTATAGATATTAAGAAAAAGAGGAAGAAAGAATGGATTGAGAGTGTTTTATGCACATTTCTATCCTTTTAAGCACTGCTTAAATACAAATATACACCATACACTATGCTTGTAACCACAAATACATTCACATGAAGTATTTGGATTACAGTTTGATATTCATTAATACAATGGTGCATTTTCATTCATGTACTTGTATTCAGGTAGATTTTGTGACCATTCAGCAACCAATAATGCATTTATTTTATTTTTTAATTGTGTGATTTCTTGTAGAATATGATATCATTGTATATTAAATTAATATTACGTGTCAATGAAAAATACACCCAATTCTCCTCAAAGTGTGTTAAGTGTTATCATATTGTTCCTAAGCATTCACTGAACATTCAAGACAGTGATCAATGGTCCTTTGGCAACTTTAACTTACATGAAGAAGCTCAGGTCTCTTCATGAAAAAAACTGAACACTTAGAGAAAACTCCAAACCAAGGCTTGAACATGATTGGATACAAAGTCAGATTATCATGTAAGACAATACAATAGACAATGCAACTAGTGTATCTCTTAGAGTTTCATTTCTCAAATTATGATTGAAATGGACTAAATGCTTCTCCTGTGAGCTCAGTGATCCTGAGGTCACTCATTCATTGAAAGAGGAGTTTAGTCTTCAGAGCGTATCTGGCACACTCTCCCTGGCTGCCATAAATTGATCTTCTGGCCTCTATTCCTCAGTAGGGAATATGATTTTTCAGGTGGGATAGGGTTTACTTTGTGTTGTCAGTCATTTCTTCCTTAAGCAGAACATGTCAGGCAATATCAATGTCTTCCCTTTGATGTTAAAACTTGAAATTATGCCATTATTTTTGATTTTTTTCATTTTTAATTATGTGATTTGTGTATGTCTTTATATGGGTATGTGGTGCACCTGCAGTTGCGCTCTAGTGGCCAAAATAGGCTTTCAGAGACTCTTAAACTAGAGTTCCATTGGAGAATGTGTGTTGAGAGCCTTCTCATGGGTCCCCAAGGGGCCTGCAATGTCTGGCTGAGCTTGCTTGTCTGTGCAGACTCAGCATAGACAAAGGCACTTTGCATCCAGACTGTCCTGTTTATTTCTCAGGCTCTGCTAGGTTTTCTGTTACCATTATGTTTTATCTTAATTGGGTTTGAGGATATTTATCTGCTGTGTTTTTATTTTGAATAGGTGTAGACACTTACGTAAAATAAAATTTAGTGAAATGTCAGGGTTGTTCATGCCCTCTGATTTTCTTAGCACAATTTCTAGGTGTGTTTATTAATCTATCATTTAAAAGTTGTTTAACATTGAACAACATCTTATTTAAGGGTATCTTAGACTCCAGCATCATAAAGTACTTTAAGAGAAGAACTGCAAAGCATAACATAATCTTGATAATTATAGAACTAAATATAATTAGCTATTAGTCTACTATGAGGTAAACAACTTTCCCATTGAAGTTGTAAATGGAGTCTGTGTGATGGGGAGGACACATATTCTTTTACAGAAGGGCTGTACAGAAGAACCAAGTACACTGGCAGGGTCCTCATTGCACATTAGTTGATTATTGCAAAGGTCTCTGAGGCTCTATGAAGCTATGCTCCTGCTAATTTAAAATTTAAGGAAAGGATAAATTGCCTCAGTCAAATTGCTAGTTCCACATATTTAAGAATAAACTCCAGTATTAGATGTTAGAACAGTTTGAAGGACAGGGTCATAAAGCAGCATTTGTTTGTCTACTTAAAATTCATTAAAATACTGAAGCTGATAATAGTCATTAATACATTAAATCATTTTTTCAGGGAACTGGAGAGATGGCTCAGCTGTAGAGAGCATATTGCTCTTGTAGTGGACCCCAGATAGGTTCCCATCACCACACATGGTCAATTCAAACAGCTTGGAACTCGAGTTTAAGAGTCTCTGAAAGCCTATTTTGGCCACTTGAGCACAACTGCAGGTGCACCACATACCCATATAAAGACATACACAAATCACATAATTAAAAATGAAAAACATCAAAAATAATGGCATAATTCCAAGGTTTAACATCAAAGGGAAGACATTGATATTGCCTGACACGTTCTGCTTAAGGAAGAAATGACTGACAACACAAAGTAAACCCTATCCCACCTGAAAAATCATATTCCCTACATCTACAGGAAACAGTTAGGTGGTGGGAGTATGGAAGGGCTTCCAGCAGAACAGCTAAACTGGAAAGTGAGAGCAAGCAAGTCCACAGTGAAATGGCTCATCACTCATTCCAGTGAGAGTCTGCATTGTTCAGTTATCTGCTTTGAAGATAATGGAACAAAAGGCACAATTTAGGCTCATTTTTTGAAATCACAACTTTCATGATGGGGTAGCTTGGAACATTAAATTGGCAATTAATTAAAGGATAAAATGAAAATGTAAGCAAAATGCATAAAGCAAGGTCTGCATGTGTTGAATTCAATGAAACCTGAATTTAAAGCATGATTTTTGTGACCTTCGTATTATCAAAACAGGGAATATATGAATGGTAAACAAAGAAAAGAAGGATAAAGGTGAAAGGGAGCCTGGCCTGGAGATGAGAGGGAAATAGGATGGACAGGGTGAAGGAGAGGGTAAAAGGAGAGACTTCTGAGCTCCCTTCAATGTTTGCAGCAGTTGTGACTAAATCAATACTTTTTCTTGATTATTAAATATTAAATCATATCAAAAGCACTCAGTTCAAATGTAAAAATAATGAAAGCAATTATAATTTGCACATGCGGCCTGTTTCCTACGGGCACATAAAAGTTCTCTCCATTTAGCTCTTTTCGTTAAAAAAAAAGTAACAAAAATATTCTGGAATTTCAGAGCTAAATCTTTCAGGGTTGAGAACACACATAGCAGGGGGAAAGACTGACTTTGAAATCACTAGAATCCAAGCTTTAGTTCAGCACAGTACTCATTGTGACAGATCCTAAGTTAGTCAAAGGAGATGCTCTCAGGGAACTGAGCATTATAGTAGAAGATGTGACAGAGGTGTCAGGTCCAATGCTTCTAAAGGAATGCTGCTCCATGGGATCATCTGTGGGTCACAGCTTTCGGCCTGTCGCCTGGGGAAACTAATGAAACTAGGAATTCTGTGCTAAATATTGGCTATATACTGTGCAAAGCAGAAGAGGAAAGGGCAGCATTAATTATCATAACCAAATAAAAAGAATCTTTATTGTGTTATTGTTGTCCCATGTGATTGATAGTCCCTATCTCATATCCTTTTCAAGTACTGTCAGGAGTTAATGGAGGGAAAGGAGACACCTAGATGACTTACATACTGAGATATATAATAGGGAATGGATAAGATAAATATCCCAGAACCTGGACACAAGTTCATTAAAAAGTCAAGCTTATTTTCATTAATAAACTTAATTTGTAATGGAGCCAAACAATCTATCTTAGGTAAACTATTGCTTTCAACGTGTGTTATCAGCAGTGGTGTTTCTTCCTACAATATGAATTTATTCCATTTAACAAACTGGATAGCTGTTAGCAGGCTAATGTGGCTACATAAGCACTCTGAATTTTACTGTGGACCTTGGCATCAACCATAGTCCCTTGGTTGGATCTAAGATCTCTGGAATGTCTGGTACCCAGCTACAGAATTCATTACATTTGACCACTTTTCCCAGCCCTCATCATTGTTCATAGTCATTACATGCTTTATATGTTAGATATTTCTTTGCAGGTAATGGATTAAGAAAATATCAAGGAAAGAGATATCATGATAAAAAGAACCACTATAGGGTTGGGAAGAAACCTGAGGCTAGGAAAATTCCCAAGAATCCATAAGGATGACCTCATCTAAGACTTGTAGTAATAGTGAAGAGGGTGCCCAAACAGATCTTCCCTTGTAATCAAATTGGTGAATGCCATAACTATTATCATAGAGCTTTCATCCAGTATTTGATGGAACCAGATGCAGAGATCGACAACCAAGCACCAGGCTGAACTCCGGGAATTCAGTCGAAGAGAGGGATGAGAGACTACATGAACAAGGGAGGTCAAGATCATGATGGAGAATTCTATAGAGAAAGCTGAACCAAACTCGTGGGAACTCATGAACTCTCCACAGAAGCTGTAGAGCCTCCGTGGGACCGAACAAGGCCCTCCATATGTGGAGACAGTTGTGAAACTTGGGTTATCTGAGGGGTCCCTGCTACTAGGACCAGGAACTATCTCTGGTGTCTGAGTTAGCTTTTTGGAGCCCATTTCCTGTGCGGAGATGCACAGCCTTAATGCAAGATGGAAGACTTTGATCCTGTCCCAACTTAATGTGCCAAACTTTGTTGACTCCCAATTGGAGGGCACTCTTACCTGTTGAGAAGAGTTGATAGGGGTGCAGGGAGCAAGGGAGAAGGCAAGGGTGGGGGCAGGAGGGATGGGAGGGAGACCTTTGGTTGGAATGTAAAATAAAATTTAAAAAATAAATTTAATAAAAAAGAATATTCGTGTGTGGACATGCATGTGCACATGCATGCATGCATTTGTGTGTTTATGTGTATGTGTCTCCATACAAGTGTGTATGAGGAGTGTGTAGAGGGAAGCAAAGGGAACTGATATGAATCTAAAGGAAAGAAGTAGTTGAAATATGTAATTTCATGTGATTCTATAAGTTTGGAACAAGATTTTTACCTCTTTAAGTTCGCCTTCTGTATTAAGAAATTCTGTAACTCCACTGATAAGTTTGGAATTCATAAATAATGCTTCTCCATACCTATAAAGATAAAACAAAACAGTCTTAATATCTATGTAGATAGTGATTTATGCAATCTGGTTAGAATGATTTTTGGAGTGTTTCCCAAGGATTGCATTTGCCAAGGCCGTCGGTGATCAGCAGCTCTCAGGGAAGTACTGGCCACTTCTTTCAGGAGGAAGAGAAGCAAAGAAGCATTTTTGCCTTGCAGTTCTATCAGGGCCACCTGGCCTTCTAAAGCGTTTCAGAGACTTCTGTGTGTCAATGAGTCTCAAAGTCTAGGTGTCTAGAATTAGATTCAGGCATTGTTGTTCTATTTGTAAGTCAAGACCCAAGAAAGGGGCATTTTTAAATATTCTATTGTACAGCAACTTAGATCATTGTAAAGAAAAAGTCCCCTAAGATGAAAAAGACCAGTTCAGCCTTGACCCTAATGTCACACAGATTTTGTGGTCTGGTTAGTCAGGATAAATCTTAGAATTCTAACTAAGTTTCAGAAACCTAGGCAAAGTTTACTAACAAATATTTCATAAAAGAGCATCAGTTGCTCTTATTATTACATTATGTATTTATCTAAATAGGTAGTTATTAAAATATCCAATTAATTATTACATAATTTTTACACTATGAACACCATTTATCGACTTATGAACGCTGGATGATGTATATATGTCAATTGGAAGCTCTCACTTTGTTGATTTGTCTCTACTTCCTTAAGGCCAATTATCAAGGCTTTAATGCTCATAGAATCAAATATAACCAACAATAAGACTGAGCTTCTGGAAGCAAAGGCCCTGCCATTATTACTAGATGCTTTATTTTGCTTCCCCAACTTGCAGGCTCTTCAGTACTTCAGCTGCTGAAGGACTTAGTTTTATCATTTAAAAGAGGTGATCAAATGGGAGGATTGTCATGATAATAAATGACATCTTAGTTAAAGCAAATAGACCGACACATGGTATTATAAACTGCCAAGTGCCACAACACAAACCCTCAATCTCAGCATCCAGGAGAAGAGGTAGGGAGAATGATGCAAGTTTAAGGATAGACTGGTCTACTTGGTGAGCTCCAGGAGGGCTAAGATTACATGGTTACACTGTCTCAAGAAAGTAAACCAATAACTTCAATACTAACACAAGTGACCATTGTCAAGGACATGTGGTCAGAAATGTGGCTGACCATACAAGAAAAAAAGCCATTTCCTTCTAAGGGAGATCTGATGGTTTTCCTTTATACTCCCAGATGAGGAAGAGCAGAACATAATCTCTACCTCATATTTTATGTAGTTGAGGACATAGACATGTAAAGAGATAATTCTCATGTAATGTAACTAGATATAGCATTGATAAAATGATGCACAGAATTCAGAGGTGGTCTATAGTTCTGAATTTTTGAGATGCATATAAATGACTGCACTGTTGTTCTGAAAAAGAGATACCAAGCAGAAGTCTGACATAAACAAAGGCAAGAAAAACTGCATGATATGTGAAGACAGCTTCAATTCATTGCATAAGGAGGGCATAAACTGTGAGGCTGGGCCAGACAGAAAGTCTTGAGAGGTAAATAAAACATATATCATGAAGCTCCTATGTTCAGAGTGGCACAGAATCCTTCTAACACTTGTTAGAAGGTTCTAGACAAAAAAAATTAAAAGGAAAAGGAAAAGAACCAAGTTATATGTGCACACACACACACACACACACACACACACACACACACATCAGCAAGTGTGAGTAAAGAGACAGAAAGATGGAAGACCAATTTAAAACTACTGAATAAGTACTGCTAAACAAGTGGTAGAAATAGCAAGGAAGCCTTCAACAATTAGGATTGTTGAAAGCACCTTGGATCTGTATTATACATGATGAAATGAAGGAGAATGTCTTTATAGACTTCGAGCTGTGTGGTTTGAGATATTGGTGAATACTTATCTAACTTACCAGGGAAAGAAAGACAAGTGCAAATTATAGGTTTAGTTTTCAGGTGGACTCCCATAGGGGACCTCAGTGAGAATGGCTTTACTACATGGCAATATCAGACGAAGGGTGTGAGTTCTGGTGGTTCTGGGAGCAATAGAAGCCATGAGAATACATGATACTTAGAACCAGAAGGACCCTATAATGTGAGAATATAATATTCTAGACAGACCTTCCCATCATTCCTGATGTTTGCAAACTGGAAGGAAAATGGGAGCTAATAAAGCACTCCTCCTTGTGAAGATAACCATGTTTGTATACTGAAATCTCAGTCTTTCTACCCTTTGAATGGTGGCCATAGGTTCTCAGAGACAAAATAAGAATGCTGAGAAATGGAGTAATAGGAAATAAATGGTATGTGAATGGATCCTACCGAGCGTAAGTTTATCAAACCAAAGAAATGTTGGTGTTTGTATTTGAAATCCCTTAAACTCATATGTATTACTTCCTGTTACATGACTTATTATAAACACAATTGGCAATGCAAGCTCTAATTGTCCTATCACTCTAAGATATGAACTGAAAACACACTATGTCAGTGTGTCTTATAGGTATCCCAATGGTTTCTCACAAAGTAGCTATAGACAGAAATGTATGTAACTGTAACAACACATTCTGATGAACTTGTTGTGCAAGGATAACTGATAAAGGAGTGAAAAAACATACAATAGTTCTTACATCAGCTTTCAAGAGCCCAAATGTTAGGTCTGCTTACTATCTTGGAGAAATTCATGCTGAAGAATAACATGGAGCATTTACATGTTCCATAATAGATTTAATTTCAAAATACCATAGAGATTATCAGAGACATAAATTAGCATTCATTATAATATATTTAAATGCATTATGCAATAAATTCTAAAATTGAAGCTGAAGAATTCTCACCATGAAACTAGATATCCTGGGAATTAATTCTACTGCAGCTGGAATAATACAATGATCTAAGTGATTAATGAATCTTCTCTGTGTCACTATTTTATTGAGGTGTTTTATGATATTTATATCTAAAGGGAATTTAAAACAATTCTACAAGAGTAAAGTTCCTTGTTGAAATAGCATTTATATGTGATTTAGGTTTTGTCCCTATAATGTATACAGAATATACAAGTTTTGTGAAAGGATTTCAAGTTTATGCAGTTTGATGAATTTCCAAGCAAAGTTGCCATACAAAACAATTTTTAGTCTCTCCATTCTTTCCCATTAACTAAAGTTATCAATTTTTATTAAATAAGGAATGTTAGAAAAGTGTTAAAATAATCATGAATTTCATGAACAACAGCCAACAGCCATCTTTGCTGAATATTATATAAGATCTAATGCTATCATTTGGGTCATAGCGCTAACAAAAACCTTGAGTATTCTTCAAATATTGGTTTTTCACTTATTCTTTCAGGCATGAAAAGATGATAATATCTACCTGGTATTTAGGATTTTCCATTTGTCTCTGAAAAACTTCCAGGCAAGATCTCGGCCATGTGGATTTCTTGCTACATGGATTATGACATCAATTGCATCTTGATCCAATACCACCTCAGAATTCAGAGACAGATTTAGAAGTCTATAAGGATAAAATTGTGGGGAAACATTTAGTCTAAAAACTTAAATACTTTATAATCTTAAATCATAATTTAGTCATATTCTTCAAAACTACCAGGATCATCATTTCCCCAATGAATAATTGCAGAACAATTTCTGTTTAGAAAATACAGATAAAATTCATAGCACTTTCATGAAATATGTTAAACTCCAAGAATACCTATGGAATGGGGGGAAATCGCAAATCTTATTTGTTGACACAATTCCACTCTCAAATTCTTCACACTATATATTTCCTTGTTCAATAAAATGTTTTCTCAAACACATATAAAACTTTATAAACTAATTAGTCACAAACCATGTTATCTTTCAAGTCAAATTGCTTTCGTCATTTTGCCAGGTGGGTTTCTTTATCTCTAGAAAGAAATGTTTCATTGTGCCAAAACTTACGGTACTGTGTATTTAAGAAAATAAAACCAACTCTAGAGCAGTATGACTGTAGATGAGAACATTCATTACAAAAAGCAACTTAGGAGATTTCATGGACTCACCTGTTTAATAAATTCCTATCATCACTGCAAGTTAGGGCCTCCAGTAAAATCTTCTTCTCAGACACTGCAGTAGTGGAGTGGAATTTCATCCAGATGAACTCCCACACATCCTCATCCAGAAGTGACACTCCTGTGCAGTAGACGATGTCTCTAACATTTAGTGGTATTCTAAGGAAGCAACCCAGGGTGGCTTTCAGTTAACCAAGAGCTTTGTGCTTTTGAAAACAAAGACCAATTTTGCTTTCCTAAAGCCAGCTATTTAAAAGATGATTTGCCAGTTACATTTCACCTAAAACAGTACAATACTATGTAGTAATAATACTCAAATATATTGCTGACTAGGAAATAAAATAATGTCTTTTATGCCAAGGAAGTTTTGAATTTAATATTTTTGTTTATACTCATAAAATTATCACTAAACAAACTAACAACAAAGGTCTTGTTTAAGAACCAAAAATAAAGTCCTTTCTATTTTCAATGGCATTGATTGACTGTCTATCTGAAAATTTGCTATCTGAAATTGACAACAAAAGTAGTATATGGATAATAGTTTTAAATAAAAGACAGCCATTTAATTTTAAATTCTTTTTAAAAATTGTTTAAAACATAATGTGTATGTGTGAGGCTCTTAACATATATAACTACATCAGGTTTGTACAAGACCCTAGAGAGATCAGAAGAGGTCATCAGGTCCCCTAGAACTGGAATTATAGGTTGTGAACCACCTGTGCTGATTTCCCTGAATTGAATCCAAGTCAAGTCTTCAAAAGGAACAGAAAGTACTTTTAAACACTGAGCCATCTATCCAGAACTATGGAACTTTCATGTGGCCAGTAGAGGGGATAGAACCCATTACCTTGGTGTTATCACCTGCGCACTGTAAACTGAGCTAACTGGTCAACCTTACATTTTTTTCTGTGATGCTATTATTATTTTTTCTGCTCAAAGTTCTGTTTATTTTATTTTTTTATTTGAATTACAAACAAGATTTAATTACATTTTTATATTATTATCTTAAGTAATTTGCTCAAACATTACAAATACAGGACCATAAATTAATGATAAACAATAAAACATAACTAACAAAGACTTTTTCCACTATGTTTATATAGTTATTATAACAGGAAAATAAACTATTACTTTGACTCTAAAATAAAAAGTTAACATGGAAAAATTAGCATGAATTTAGTTAGGCTTGGCAATTCATGAATTATAAATTCACAAGTCAACTTTCTCACAGTGGTGTTCCACGATACACCACATTTTCTGGCTCTTTAAAATAATTCTCTTAAGAAATATTCAAATACTTTTTTAAAAGCTGAAAAGTTTGTATTTCTTTTTGTAATATTCATTAGTCTACTAGTTACATTTCCCATTAATAATTTGAATGTGACTACACAGATTGTCCTCCCTGAGTCACGGGAAGAAACAATGCTTTTTAAAGACTCAGAACTCTCATTGTTAAACACTAGTATGGTTGAAGCAATATGCAAAAGCATATGAAATTCTGAGTGTCCACTAGTGATGGGATGGTACTCCCTTCCAGATGTTAAGAAAGCCTGCTCATGGGAAAGAAATACCTTTCCCTCAGCAGTGTTAGCAGGCAAACTTTTGTTCATCTGTTTTGTAAAAGGTGAAAAGAGAGGAGGAAGAAGAGGAGGATAGAAGTGGAGTCCACAGCATTAGAGGGATTCATTGTTTCTTTTTTTTTTTTTTAGCTTAGTCTGGATCCTGTGTCAAGAGTCCTCCCCTGTCAAGCCTTGGTGACACAGATTTCTTCCTTTCTGTTTTTGTCCAGCTTGCTACAATGCATACTGAAATTCACTATGGAGAATACTGTTACCATTTTTTAGAGAAAGTAATCAGTCTTAATAAGTATAATTTAAGATCAGCCAGATGTCTTCAATAAATCAGCACTTACATATCAGAATGGGTCTTCTCTCCATATACTATGAGATGTGGAGGCCAACACTGCATTATTGCATGACTTTGACCAAGATATTGATAGAGAAGTTTGCAAGTAAAAACTCAAAAACTCTAGCATTTCTCCTGAAGTCAGTAACTCATTAATCAATATTAGATATGTTACTAACAGTAACTCACTTTCTAAGAGCAAACCATTAAGCTATTGACAGATCAAAGAGAAGATGGGAATAAAACCCAATAAGGTAGGGTTTCCATGGCTACATAACCAGTATCCATGTTAAGCATCCCCTATAGAAAAGTACAAAAACTAGAGAAAAGAAAAAAACACAGTAAATGTTAAACTATTATTCCCTAGAAATTTCATGAATATTATACTATAGCCATTAGTAAAGGCTGTTTCATTTATCTTCTAGAGGCAACTACTGGCTATGCCAGTTAAACTGTGTAAGACACACATACACAAATGAACACATGGTTTGGCCATGACAATGTCTTACAAATGCTCTAAAGAGTCACCAGAGGCCAAAATTAACATTTTGTGGAATGCCATGTTCTGAGTTATTCGTTTTGTAGTCTGTGTCTCAATTATTTTTGTCAACATCTAATGTGGGCATGACATCTGTGTCATCAACTACTTTTATAGCAGAAGGGACCCTGTGCTAAGAGGGGATATTTTCTATCATAAATATATAGTTACTTTGTAGCCGGGCATTGGTGGCTCATGCCTTTAATCCCAGCACTCCGGAGACAGAGGCAGGAGAATCCCTGTGAGTTCCAGACCAGCCTAGTCTACAAGAGCTAGTTCTAGGACAGGCTCCAAAGTCACACAGAAATCCTGTCTCGAAAAACCAATATATATATATATATATTTACTTCGTAACATGAAAAATAAATGACCCAGAGACAGATATTGGGGTTCAAGCTTCAAGTTGAAGACCAGAGAATCAAAGCAGGCAAGCCAGTAGATCTTACCTCTACCCAGCTGAAATGGCAATGCTGTCTCCACAAATCCTCAGAGGCAAAAGGTTCTCAGATCCTGTCTCCTCCTCCTTATATTGCTTTCTCTGCCCAGCCACATCACTCCTGTCTCCACCTCCTTAGTACTGGGATTAAAGGTATGTGATTCCAGGTGCTGAGATAGCCTTTGTGTGAGCTGTTTCTTTTAAGACTGCATCAATTTTGTGTAGTCAGTGTGGCCTTGAACTAACACAGATCCTTGTAGCTCTTAATCCTGAGACCTTCGACTAAAGGAGTATAGCACTACTGCTTACCCTCTATAGCTAACTAGTATGACTGCTTTGCTATTTTGATATCCAGTGCCTTTAATAATTTATAAACAACATATCACCACATTACTTTCCACTATTACTAGGAGTCTTAGCTGGGGTCATCCTTGTGAATTCCGGGGAGTCTCCCTGGCACCAGGTTTCTCACTAACCTCAAAAGGAACCCTGTCAAGGTTAACCCCAAATGGACCCCCATCGAGATATCTCTTACATTATTCTCTCTGTCTTTCCCATCCCTAACCTGCTACAGCTCCACCTGATGGCTCATGATCGCATACACCCACCCACCGCCTGCCCCAGTTAACCCAGAGATGGCCATACCCTTTCAGAATGGATCCAGAGGATGAGTGGATGGAGGGGGGAGTAGAAAGGAGGTGGGGAAGGAATGGGGGGGAGGGAAAGGGAGTGTAAACTGTGGTTGGCATGTAAAACAAATGAAAACCATTTAATAAAAAAATAAATAAAATACAGTTACTTAGAAACTTTGTGTACTTGTATCTGTTGTACCATTTCAGCTTAGAGATGAGTGATGCCAATGGTTGTGGTGTATCTCTGTAAGAATTTCTTAGGAATTGTTGTATCCTGCATTCTTGGGTTACTTGGACCTGCATGCTAATTTCTTCCCACACACTAAGGAAGAATCAGACACTGAGTCTTTCAGACAGTTTCCTTATCCTTTGTCTCAGTCTGTCCCCTCCTGGGCTTGTACAGTGTTCATGTTGGTCTTCTTGACGGTGTCCTAAATGTCCCTTTATCTTTCTCCATGCCTTCCCCGCCCTGGAAGTCTTCTCCTCTGTGATCATTATTGCCAGTGATGGCTCTTTGCTTTGCTGATGCTTGTCATTGCTTCCATCTGCCGGTAAAGCCTTCAAGTGAATTGTAGTTCAGCTGTTCATTTCCATGCCCTGCTGGTACTTTGTGGTATTTGAATCTTCATTGGAATTCTTAGCTTTACTTTCCTTTTCTCTTAGCTTGAACCAGCATACTTCTTTTTTTTTTCAGATTTTTTTTATTTGAATTAGAAACAAGATTGTTTTACATGACAATCCCAGGTCCCTTCTCCCTCCTGTCCTCCCCTACAACTCCCCGCCCCCTAACTAAAACTCTACCTATCACATATCCTTTCTTCTATTTTTCCCTTGACTCAACCTTTCTGCTCCCTCATGACCTCTGCATCCTTCCTCTTCTTCCCTTCTCATTCTTGTAGCTCCCTCCCCCCTCTTCCCGTGCTCTCAACTTACTCAGGGGATCTTGACCCTTTCTCCTTCTCAAGGGGACCATGTATGTCTCTCTTAGGGTCCTCCTTGTTTACTAGCTTCTCTGGCAGTGTGGATTGTAGGCTGAGCCAGCACACTTCCGACAGTGATTTGTGCTAACAAGAAAACCATCAGGTCTATTTCATTAAGAGGAGTTTCTAGGTTTCTCTTCTCATATCTTCATTTTCTGGCTATATTATTTATGTGGGTTTCTGCACACCACTCTTCTTTGCACAAGTACCTAGACAAGCTTCATCCAAGAGAAGATCTATACCAAGCAGCCTGACTAGAGATTCTGGAGGGCCTCTACCACAGAGCTCCTCCTTAAGAAAGTAGCATACAGCTGCGGCTCTGGTCTTCTTACTCTGTGCTGAGCTAGGAGAGAAACTGACATTTAACTGTCCAATCCACTGCCTCCATTCTCCCTTAGGTGTCTAGATAGCATTAGATGCATTAGAAGTCCATGTCTGGAAAGCCTGATGCTCTCTGGAAACAGACTCAGAGAAACTGGGGCATTGTACAAACAGGCTAATGCTTCTCCCAGAAAGAAGCTAAGAGTTGGAATCCCCACTCAACTTGGGTATGTGTTGAGCAATAGGGAAGTTATGCTACTTTCTAGTCCAAAGCTGGCTCTGAACTTTGTCGGTGTCTAAACTTTGTCAGAACTCTTAAGACTGGTGAAGTAGATCATGCCAAGTTC